CGGGGCTGCGGTCCCCCCAGAGGAGCCTGGCGTCGCAATCCCGGTGCGCGGGGACCCGGTATCCGGAAGCCCGGACCCACCCAGCTTCACCGCCTCTGCCTGGGCCCGCGGCGGTTTCGGGGAAGGGGGCCTACGAGCGGAGGGACAGTTACTCAGCCCCAGCGAAACCGGCGAGTCGGCACCTGCAAGCGGGCGGGGAGGTGGTGGCCCCGTTACGGCTCCGCCCCCCGCCACGCCCCGCTGCCTGCCAGCCCGGAAGGAGCCAGCCGGCTGAGGCCCGTGGCGGCTGAGTCAGGCGGTGAGAGCTGCCGGCCCGTTACCGCGGGCGCCGGGGGCCCGGGCGGCGCTGTGGTTTCGGTGCCGGGCGCGGGCAGGCGGCCTAATGAGCTCTCGGCACGCACCCCGCGCCGCGCCCCGCCCGGCGCCTCACCCTGCTCGCCCGTCCCGTGGGGACCCTGGCGACCTGCGGCGGCGTCGTCCCCCGAAACCTGCCGGTTTATTCTTGGGAGCTAGGCACGGGAAGCTTTGCTGGAGTCTGCGCGTGGCCGAGGGTGGCAGGGATCTCAGACGGTCCTGGGTGACAGCAGCCCCCTCGGGGACGGTGGGGGGGCTGGGAACCGGACTGGCGGCCGCTGGCGCCCTCTGGCGGCCGCAGGGCAGCGCGCGTCTTCCCGGCCGCGGCCGCCGGCGTAATCCTCCCGCTCTTCTATGCAGGGACCCTTGTGCCTGAACATGGGGCCCCTGAGCCGGGAAGCCTGGGCCCAGCGCCTGGGCGCCTTTCGGGCCAGCCCGTCCGCTTTCATGGCAGGTCCTGAGGGCGAGGGTTTGGGTCGCGACCTGCTGAGTGATCTGCGGAGTGAGAAGCTGACCGAACAGACTAAGGTAGGCCCCGCACGCTTCCCCTGCCTTGGCCCTGTGGACATTCCAAATCTCCAGGCCATGACCCTGATCTTCGTGATTCCCTCCCAATCCCCCAGGTTTCCTTGCTGGCCCTGAGCTTGGAGTTCCCAGCCCAGCTGTGGCCCGATGCCTCTGCTGCAGAGGCAGCTGCCACCTTCCTGCTGGACACCCTGGTCCTCCTATCCCCACGGCCCTCAGCTCTCCGGCGGCCCCTGCTGCTGGCGGCCACCACAGCCCTGGTGGCAGGAGGCGCGCTGGGCCCCACCTCAGGAGCCTCTGGCCGCCTCCTGCCCCTGCTGCTAGGCCTGGCCTCTGGTCGAGATCTGGGTCGGGGCTTTGGACCAGCCTCAGAGCAGCGCCCCCTGCAGGCCACAGCGTGCGAGTGCCTGCGGGAGCTAGAGAGCTGTCAGCCGGGGCTGCTGGGGGGCTGCCTGGGGCTGTTGCGGGGCCTGCTGGGGCGGGATGGTCCGGTCCAGCCACTCAGCCTGCTGGTCGCCCTTGTTCTGCGCAATGTCTTGGTGGCACAGGCCAGGGCTGGGGCCAGCCTGCGGGGCCTGCTCACAGCTGGGGACGCCTCCACTGGGGGCGGCCCCTGTCCCTGGGATTGGACACTAGCTCAAGAAGGGGATGTCCACTTACAGCCCCAGGCCCCCAGCTGGCTGGCAGCTGAGGAGGGGGAGCATGGCCTTGCAGCGCTAGAGCCCAGTCCTGAGGAGGCCCGGGAACTGCGGGCCACAGTGGCCCAGCTCCTGGATGCCTCCTACCTGCTCGCTCCTGTGGCCCAGGCCCAGCTTCTGTGGCTGCTGGGATGGGGCCTGCGGGGCCTGCGGGGCCAGCCGCCAGCACTCTTCAAGCCACAGCTGGTACGGCTGCTGAGTACAGCACAGCTGACCCTACTGCACGCCGTTCTGGCGCTCAAGGCGGCCTTTGGCGAGGCCCTGTTCACCGCCCAGGATGAAGCTCTGCTGCTCCACCGGCTCACCGTGGCTGCCCAACACCCGGCCCTGCCATCGCCCACCCACCTCTTCTACCTGCACTGTCTCCTGAGCTTCCCTGAGAACTGGCCACTGGGCCCCGCGGGTGAGGAGAGCACCCCACTGCTGCTAGGGCCCCAGCTGTGCCAGGGCCTCCTGCCCAGTCTTCTGCATGACCCACTGGCTCTCCTGGCCCGCCTGCACCTGCTGTGCCTGCTCTGTGCCGAGGAGCAGGAGGAGAAAGGCCAGGCTGAGAGCCTCCGGCACTACCTGGAGGAGCTGCTGGCTGGCCTTCGGCGGAGGGCCGCCCTGGCCAGGAGCCCCCGGGCCTTGGCCACGCTCTGCTTCCAGGCCTCGTACCTGGTTGCCTGCTGCCTGGCTGGGCAGCCCACAGTGCTGACTCCTCTGATCCATGGACTGGCCCAGCTGTACCAGGCCCGGCCCGCCCTGGCCCCCCATTTTGTGGACCTCTTGGATCGGGTGGGCCCTGAGCTGGGGGAGCCGCTGAGAGGAGTGTTGCGGCAGGAGGTGGTGTCCGGGACAGGCAGGGATGGCGCCCTTCGCTGGCACCTGCAGATGCTGGCGAAGGTGGCGGAGGGGGATGCCCAGAGTGCCACCCTGCGCTTCCTGCAGGCTGCAGCTGGCCACTGCACTGACTGGGGCCTCCAGCAGGCCCTCTTACAGGTCTGTCGGACCCTGCTGCGGTCAGGTGGGGGCAGTGGCCTGGCAGACTTGCTGCAGGCGCTGGCTGGGCAGCTGGAGGACCCTGACGGACGAGACCATGCTCGCCTCTACTACCTCCTCCTGGCCCACCTGTCAGGGCCCAAGCTGGGGATGGCCCTGGGCCCCTCGCTGGCCGCACCTGCATTGGCTTCCTCCCTGGTGGCCGAGAACCAGGGCTTTGCGGCGGCGCTGACGGTGCAAGAGGCCCCGGCCTCGCTGCGGCTGAGCGTGGGGCCCCGCCGGTTCGAGGGCCCTGGCCCAGTGCTGCCGCTCCAGGTGGAGGCGCTGCAGCCGCTCTACTCCCTGGAGCTGCGCTTCCGCGTGGAGGGGCAGCTCTACGAGCCCCTGGGGGCTGTGCATGTGCCCCGCCTGTGCCCCGGCCGCCCTGCCCGCCCTCTGCGCCTGCCTCTGCAGCCCCGCCGCCCGGCCCCCACCCATCTGGGTGTCCGCGCCCTCTACACCACGCCCGCCGGCCTCACCTGTCACGCCCAGCTGCCGCCCCTGCAGGTGAAGTTCTCGGACCTGTTTCTGCCATTCCCACAGCCCCCCGAGGGGGCGAGGCCGGGCTTCTTTGAAGAGCTCTGGGCCTCCTGCTTGCCCAAAGGCGCCGAGAGTCGCGTGTGGTGCCCGCTAGGACCACAGGGGCTGGAGGCCTTGGTGTCCCACCACCTGGAGCCGTTTGTGGTGGCCGCCCAGCCCCCCGACAGCTACTGTGTCGCCATCCGCCTGCCTCCTGCTTCCAGGCTGCTGCTGCGGCTGGGGGCGGCCCAGGCAGACGGAGTGCCTGTGGCCCTGCGGACCGACGACTGGGCCGTGCTGCCCTTGGCGGGAGACTACCTTCGGGGACTGTCAGCTGCTGCCTGAACCCGTGGCGGGGCCAGGTGGGGCCAGGTATGGGGGCTTGCCTGAGAGAGGCGGCTAGAGGCCAGGCCTTACCCCATTTGCTACTTTTCATTAAAAAACCTGCGCTCACCAGTGCCCTGCCCTGCCTTGTGTCCTTTTGGGCCCTGGTCGGGTGGGAGTTACAGGCCCTAAGAAAGCTTCCAGACTAAGAACCCCAGGATGGTAGCGTGTGCCAGAATTCTCCAGAATCCCCATCCAAGGCAGAGAACTATCTACCTCTCCACGTCCCCCTGACCTTACCCAAGGCCACCCAGCAATTTAGGAACAAGGCCAGAGCTGGAACTGGGGCTTCCTGGCCCATGGGCTGGCATTGTTTCCAACTCCCAAGCTGGCAGAGCTCCTACCACAGGGCACTGAAATGGGAGAGGAGGCTGAAGTAGCCAGGTGCCCCTTCCCTGGGGTGGGAGGCCTCCCCAGGCCTGGGACCTATGTGGCCTGAAGCCAGTTCTAGGAGGGGCTAGTTAATAAGGTTTAGGGGCTGAGAGGGTGCCACATAAAAAACCAAATTTGTTGTCTTCTAGACAATTTTGACATATGGCAATCCCATCCCGCATGGCTTGGGCTAAAGCCAACCAGGCTTTCCCTGACCCTAGCCTCCTAGAAACCCAACCTGTGCTTAGGAGTCCCCCCAGGTAAGAAGAATTAGTCCCATTTTTTTCAAATATGCGAGAGACTTAGGATTCAGGTTTACTGAGGCCAACTCTGTTGCCAGGCACTGAGCTGGTGTTTTCCACATATGTTGCCTTATTTGATCCTTGCAGTAGCTCTGCAGTTGAGGAAATCTGTAGGTCAGAGAGGTTGAGTGACCTGCCTAAGGTCACCCAGCTGGTTGGTGATAATGTTTTGTCATCCTGTAGCAGGTTTCCATCCCCTCAGCATCAGAGCAGCTCTGCAGGGCCACAGGAACCAAGAGTCCCCAACCCTCTGCCCTGGGCCAACCCCCAGCACATGAGGAGGCAACAGGCTGCAGAGCTGGGTGGGAGAATGGCCACGGCTGGGCTTTAATGGTTTGCGGAAAAGGCCTTTTTGCTGCCCCTACCTCTCTGGCTTCCAGTCCCCAGGTTCCTATGAGCTAGTCTTGCCCCCTTCCCTGACCGGGGTGAGCTAGGAAAGGAAAGACAGCCTGGAACAAGTGGGAGTTGTTATAAGTAGGAGTCAGGAGACCTGTCCCAAGCTCAAGTTCTGGCTGGAACTTGCTCTGTGACCTTGGGCAAGTTATTGCCAAATCAGGAAGGGTCCAGTTCTACGAAACTGAAACTCCTCCAGCTGTTTTAAGCAGAAAGGGATTTAAGACACAATCAGGTACTGACAAAGGCCCTGGAAGGCTTTGGGAAGTGGGCCCCCAGGAGACCACCACTAAAAACCAAAAAAACCAAACCCACTGCTGTTGAGTCAATTCTGACCCACAGCAATCCTAGAGGACAGAGTAGAACTGCCCCATAGGGTTTCCAAGGAACTGCTGGTGGATTTGAACTGCCGACCTTTTGGTTAGCAGCCTTATCACTTTACCACTGGGCCACCAGGAGCTGTTGAATTCCAGAAGATACTGCCATGCCAGCCATCCAGCTCCTCACAAAACCCAGGAAGCTGCCTGGACACTGGAACACAGGCTGGGGTGGCCACTGCTGCCTCTTGACACCCACACAGCCAGAGACCTGGCGCTGCTGACTCTTTCCACCAATGGACCTCCAGGGCAAATGGCCCACAGCCTCATTTCACTTATCCACATTGTTCAGAGTGCAGCTAGTTAGTGGATCTATTTCTCACGCAGAACTCTAGTGGCAAAGGAGTTGGGAAAATGTAGTTGTTTTTTTTTCAACTTCAGATGCAGAAGGTGATGTTAATCATCAGCCTAAGATTCAGTTAACTGGTCCATGTAAACACTGACCATCCATCCTTTCGTCTCTGCCCTCTCATCCATGCATCTGTCCCATTTTATCCATCTACTCTTCCAGTGCTGGACTCCAGACAACCTCCAATTTACCCTGCCCCAAGTGTGCTGCAGTGAATATTTTTATATAGCTCCATATGGACCTGTATGATAACTGTTCTAGGATACATACCAGGAGCAGAGTTGCTGAATCATAGGGCATGGATAAGCTTAATTTGACTAAGTAACATCAGTGTAAAGAAAATTTTTTGCTTCGCATCCTCAGTATGCCTAGGAAAGCATACAAAGAGGTGAGGGTAGGGTGTGAGTCAACCCACAATGTCCGCCACAGTCCACCCATTTGCATACTCAATATTCAAACATATTTGGTGCAGGGCAGTGGGTTTCTCTTTTTATATGGCCTTTCTGGCCATGGTCTTGTAACTCCCACAAAATGAGTGGGTAGATCTATGCAAATAAGATGTAAAACTTTTGCTGGCTTTGGCTGGGATAGGCAAATAAGGTGCTTGTGACCCACCGAGGGGATTGGTCAGTTTTGCCATCCTGCTAGGCTTAAAAAGAGTCAATCCTAGAGGTTAAGGGGGGACTTCATTACCATCAAGAAGAAGAGCCCGGAGTGGAGCGTGTCCTTTGGACCCAGGGTCCTTGCGCAGACAACCTCCTAGACCCAGGAGACAGCTGTAACACTTGAGGCAGCAGTGGCACAAGACGACAGCAGCATGGCACCAGCAGACAGCTGCAGCGGGTTCACCAACCTACCGAGCAAGAGAGCTGAGGCTTCTTGGCGGAGTAGGGTGCCTCCGGGCGCTTACTGGCGAGTTAAAGAGTTGTAATACTTGCCCGAGCAGGGCTGAGGCCAGGCCCAAACAGGGCCTGGTAGCAGAGGCCTGCCTGCGGGCATGGCCGAGAAGAAGCTGTCTTAACTGAAGAATCATATCCTGAGTAATTCCTGATCCTGAAGTGTAACCTGTTACTTCTCTAATAAACCCATGAATCATGAGTACAGTCTGTGAGTTCTGTGTAGGCATTACAATGAATTATCAAACCCAGCAGAGAAGTAGAGTGCCATGGGAGGGATGGCTGGTGTCAGAATTGGTAAAAAGATTGATGAGTGGAGGTATGTCTGACCCCCGCCTCATAGGAATCAGCCTTGGGCTGATGCTAATGTTGATTCTCCTCCCCTCCTCATGAAGTTAGAGGAGCTCTGACCCCCCTATTTTACATCTGCTCATCCTTAAACTTCCCAAGATAAAATAGCCACAACAACATGCTCCTGCCTAACTATCTCTCATACAACCAAAAATTATTTCCTAAAGAGTAGACCCCAAATCCCACCGGTCACTTTGGCCTCCTGTGTGGATGTTTCTGATGTTCACCAATTACTGGTTCTCTACTTCCAGAAACAGTAGTACCCTTCCCATCCCCTCAAAGTTAGGTCTGGCCAGGAGAGGCTCTCTGGCTAGTGAAACGTGAAGGGTGTCAGTTCTGGGACAAAACATTTCCTTGCCATTGCTCAGCTTGCCAGTCATGGCCTCTGTGGGAGCACATGTTGATATGGAGATGTTGTATAGCTTAGTCGTTATCTCTTCTTGATAAAATGGAGCAAATGCACTGAATTACGCAGCTACTTATCAATAGCACGCACTTTAGATGAGCCAGGTGGGAGCAAGGCTAGTTAATATACATTTTACATGCAAGGAAGAAAGTATGGGTCCTCTCTTACGCAATTGGCCATAACTAGGGTTGCCAGATTTAACAAATAAAATCACAAGAGGCCCAGATAAATCTGAATTTCAGAGAAACAATGAATAATTCTTTAGTATAAGTATAGCCCAAATATTGCATGGGACATACTTATACATGTATATATATAT